CTACCCTTACAGAAGCCATGCTGATTTTCCTTCAACAAGGCTTGTTCTTCTGTGTGTTTCAAGATTTTATCTTCCATGAGGCTTTCACCATCTTCCTTGGAACAGACGTTAGGCTAACCGCCCTGTAGTTTCCCAGGTTCCCCCTCCTCCTTTTTTAAAATAAGTTAACTGAATACAAGTAAAAAGTTTAAGATCCATATTTGGCCAACTGATATTTGTATTTCTCTAGACTGTACTTTCAGTGTTTTTGAATCCAAAACACATGCAATCTTCTTGTAGGAAACATGAGGATGACAGGAGATTTACATGTCCTGTGGAAGGTTGTGGAAAATCTTTCACAAGAGCAGAACACCTGAAAGGCCACAGTATAACTCATCTTGGCACAAAACCATTTGAATGTCCAGTTGAAGGTACTGTTTGTGTTTCAGATCCTGTGTCCTTACATTTACCTCTTTGGTTGCTAACCAGTCATAGAGACAGCAAAAACAAATGTTATGGTAATAGATTCATGTATTGGGATTGTGTTGTTACTGATTCCTGTTATGGGCAAAAATGGTCTTCAAAGCACAGCTTGGGTAGGAAGAAGAAATATCCCCCCCCCCAAAAAAAACTTGCATATTAAAATCTGCATTTTTAAAATTTTGGGGTAGATTGAGTGAATAGACATGTTCAAATTCATGTTTTAGGAGAATTCCTGGAGTAGCATCTCCCAGAATTCAATTGCAGCCCCAAAAATTCCCCAAGCAGAATTCTGGGAGTTGTAGTCCAACCACAAAGCTGCATACTTCCAGTTGTTGGCACTGCCAGTGACAACACTGCTGCCTCCTGTAGCTGGGGCATTGCTGGGAGTAGAGGCAGAAGATGTGCATGCCAGGAAAGGCCATGTGTCTCTGGCCTCAACATTTCTTGTACACAAAGTGGGACATGTTGTGGCAGGAAAGGCAGCTTCCATGCCATGTGTCTCTGGCCTCAACGTTTCTTGTACACAAAGTGGGACATGTTGTGGGCAACTTATTCCATATTGCCCTGTGGTGATATGTCTCCTGTGCCAGTTGGAACAGGGTGCAACAGGGTGTGTGATGAAAAAGGCCATGAAACTTTCTACAGTGGGCTTCCTGTTGCCTCAATCCAGGGAGAGTGGGCTGAACTTTCTGCCACTCCTGCATTAACTGCTTCTTTTCTGCTGGACCAGCTAATGATAGCTGAGTTCAGGCTGTGTTTGGAGAGACTCTTGGAGTAGGGCATTGCTAGATGAACAGACTACCTAATATATCATAAAGTTGAGATTCTAGGAAGAGGTCTCCCTCTCGGTCCCATCACCTTCACAGATACATTTGGTGGGGACACGGGAGACAGCCTTCTCTATTGCTGCTCCCAGACTCTGGAATTCCCTCCCACAGGAGGACAGACTGACCCCATGTTTACTGTCCTTCCACAAGCAGGCAAAGACCTTTCTCTTTAGGCTAACTTTCCCTTAGTGACTAGCTGTCTGAATGGGATTTTTAAATGGATTAGTTGTACCTTACTGCATTGGATGTGTTTTGGTGTTATGTTTTTTTGTATTGTATTCATTAATCATTTCAGTATTGTATGCTCATTGTTACTGATCTTAAATACTGTCTTTTATTTGTTCTACGTAAGCTATATTGGGTCCTTTTTGAGGAGAAAGGCAGGTTAAAATATTTTAAATAAATGTTTAAATAATAAGGTCTGAATAAATTGGTGGTATAGGCTTCAATGTTTCTTTTGAAGCCAGAATGCATATTATAGTTCTGGAATTAAGTGGACTGTATCACCTCAAGAGTGACACAATCTGCTTAGCAGCATTAATACATATGGCTGAGCAGTTCCATCCCTAACTGCTGTGCCACGACCTGGAAGACTGGCTTTGATTGTGTGCAGCTAATTAAAAATTGCTTTCCACTTTTTCCTCGATCTTCCACTCACCTAGCAGGAACTCATTATCTTTTTTTCTCAGTTCTTCAGAACTTTGGGAGGAAGGAAGCTGTGGGAGAGAAAGAGAAAAATCTAGAAAGGAGGGCTTTTGAGATCTTCTTGCGAATTTGAAGAATAATTAAACAGTATTAATTTGGGAGGCTTGCTTTTGCTCACTCTTTTTGTGCTGTACAGACTTTTTGTATTATATTTTGCATTCATAAATTTTGTACATGATGATATTCAGTTCACCTAAAATTTCAGAATATGGAAGAAATGTCTAAATGCAATCGCATTTGTAATGGTGGTTATTTTTGAAGTAAGTTAATAGATGGGAACAATATCTAAACTTGAATAACTGCCTAAAGTATATATTTTATTTCAGGATGTTCTGCAAAATTCTCAGCACGTAGTAGTCTCTATATTCACTCCAAAAAACACCTTCAGGATGTGGACTCATTGAAGACTCGTTGTCCTATTTCAAGTTGTAATAAATCGTTCACTTCCAAACATAGTATGAAAACTCATATGGTCAAGCAACACAACTTTAGTACAGGTATGGTTTATGAACAGTGTCTCAATTATATTTGTGATTAAATGTATCATGTCTAAAATATTACTTCCAAAGCCTGATCTCATGAAAAATATTAGTTGGTTAACACCAGAACTTACGATTTTAGAGACTCACATACTGGTGTTCCAGAGTCCTTCTTTAAAAGCTTTTGCCCCTCGCCAATAAACATAGTCAATATCCCTTGTGTTGCTGTTGTGGTATGCTGCATCCTTTCTGACTTTGGCAGGAACCAGCTGTTGAGTAATCTGTTTTTTAAAAAAACAACAGCATATTGATATCTTCCTCCCAAGCATTTTATAGTTATGTCATGTTATGTTAATGGCTTGTTTGCACTTCAGAATTATGTGTGGGAGAAGATATTCATGATTGTGGAAGGACATGAATTCTAACTATGTGGACCATCCAGGCTGAACAGTTCATACCCATGCTAGCATCTGTGAAGGTGCAGCACCTACCCTTAAGTCTGGATGACATGCAGAAAGCTATGGAAAACACAGCTGTGTAGAGTCTTGACTGCTATGGAAATTAACACCAGCCATTATACTTTAGGTATACAGTACAGTAGTCTTAATTTTTGGGATGTGGTGGCGCTGTGCTGCAAGGTTGGAAGACCAGCAGTCGTAAGATTGAATCCACATGACGTCACTTGTCCCAGCTCCTGCCAACCTAGCAGCTTGAAAGCATGTAAAAATGCAAGTAGCATAAGTAGGTACCACCACGGTGGAAGGTAACGGCATTCTGTGTCTAGTTGTGCTGGCCACGTTACCACGGAAACTGTCTACAGCCAAACGCTGGCTCTATGGCTTGGAAACGGGGATGAGCCTCGCCCCCTAGAGTCGACTGGACAAAAATTGTCAAGGGGAACCTTTACCTTTACCTTGATTTGCAACACGGGGCACGGGTTAAAAGTTTGCAGATCTGTGTTTTTGAACTCACAACTCCCAGAATTTCTCAAGCACCATAACTGCGTAGGGAATTCTGGTAGCTGCCGTCCAGGAACACAATCTTCATACCTTTAGTGAGGATGTTGAGCAAGAAATGAAATTACCTGAAAGGATAGCCTGGTGAAAATAGTGATAGTGGCATATTGAAATTTGATCCCAGTGAGTTATGGCAATACTGGCTTCTGCCAGATTAGAGAGATATTGACTAGATTTATTGGGGTGGGGCATAAGGAATTTGAGGCATGAATGTGTTGCACAGGTGGCCAAAGGTAGAATTCCTGGTTGAGATCCTGAATTCAGTTGTCTGTGGGTGAGATAGTATTTACATTTTGGTTTTTAAATTAAATATATTGATTTTTTTGTTTGTTTCAGATCTCTTAAATCCTGTGGAGACGTTTGGTTCCCTCACACCTAGCAATGAACTTGCCAGTTCAGGACAAAGTGACCTCAGCAATGTAGACCTTGTGTCCCTTTTCTCTAGTGTATCCGGGAACACCTCAGGAATTTCAACTGATATGGCTCTGATAAACTCTGGAATTCTAACCATAGATGTTGCTTCTGTGGGCTCCACACTTGGAGGCAATATTTCTGTTGGTAATAACTCTCTTAGCCAGACAGTTGATCCACTGATTTTAGTAGCTAGCAGTGATATTCCACACAACCTGGACAGCTCTCTTCTTTTGGGAACCACTGCCACTGTTCTACAGCAAAGCACTTTAAATCTGGATGATGTACAGACTGTAAATGCTGAAGCTTTGGGTTCATTAGCATCTTTGTCTACAAGGACCTCCAGTCAAGATCTGCACGGTTTAACCTCTAGCAATAATCTGTCGGTAGACACAGCCACTTTAACCCCTTCCAACAACCTTGGTGGAAACAATGCATCTGAATTGTTGGCTCCAAGTAAAGCAGAGCAAACATTGCTTCCTAGTCTGGATGTTGTGGGACAACAAGAAGGCAGTAAAGTGGTGACTCAGTTTGTGTTCTCCAACTCTCCTGGAAGTTACAGTGCACAGAAAGAAACTGATCTGAGCACGGTGACTGGCAGCTCCTTTCTGGTATGCAGTAACACTCAATAACTGTAGTTTTCATTAGTATCTTAGCGTTGAGGATATTATATTGCCGTGTATGAGCCATCCTTTCTACCAGATCAAATGGGTTTGTGGAATGTCTGCCACGAATGAAGTCGTCGTATATTTTGTACAATGTAAGTGGTATAAACTGCTGTTGCCTGTGAACATACTAAATCCAGTTGCACATTGTACATCTCACTTGGAGGAAAGAGGATATTTCCCCTCCTTCAGCTGGAGCTTAGTGTTATTACCTCATTTCCCAAATTGTTGTAAGTACTTAAAATCAGGGTAGTGGGTGGCTTTGGGATTGATTCAGGAAAAGGTATGCCCTTTCATTGTTCATAGAAGAGGGGGAATTGGACTGCAAGGTCTTGAAAATTTGCTTCTTGCCTGATTTCTTATTTTTCTCCCACATGCTGCTGTTTTTATTCATGGTAAGAAATGGACTGCAGTCAAAGTTAAGCTGGTTTAAGCTGAAGTAGGATTTCTTATTTGGAGTTGTAATTAGTTATCTGTTTGAGGAAGAAAGAAAAGGGTCATACAGATTGTTCTAGGGCTACATAATATGTTTTGATAGCTTCTGTCTTGTTCTAATGACATGTCAGTTGAAGTGAATTAGCTGTTTGTTCTGTGTTGAATGTGCCTATTTTTTGCATCATCATTTGCTAAAATAGTACACTGATGAGTATGAAGAGCTGCATCTGATATCATTTGAACAAATGGTCTGCTTATGCAGTAGGACTTGCTTTCTTCCTCTGGCAGCTTTCTCCCCACCTCCATCTGCTCTACAGCAGTGGTCCCCTACCTTGGGTCCTCACATTTGTTTTTGGATAAAAACTCCCAGAAGCCTTCATCACTAACTGTGCTGGCCAAGGGTTGTAGTCCAGCAATCTAGGGACCAAATGTTGGGAACTACTGCTCTAGAAGATCCCACAACACTCTGGAGCTGGGGTTTGAGGTCTTGGGGGGCTACAGAAAAGGACTGGGAATCTGTTCTGCTAGTGGATGAAATTCTGTATTTCCATTTGGGAGTTACAGTTGTTATCTGAGAGAGGAACACAATAGATCCCAATAATCTTCCTTGTTTTGATGTGCATACTCCCTTTTGTCTTATCAGGAGAGTAGCGGGTCTGCAAGAACAGATTATCGAGCTATTCAGCTTGCCAAGAAGAGAAAACAGAAAGGAAATGGGAGTGACTTAGGTGAGCATTAGCTGTTTCAGTAGAGCATATTATTTCCAGAGTGAAATTATTCTTAATACCTGAAGGTTGAGTGTATATCATATATTCAATAACATATTTGTGAGCTAGTCCCATTATTAGTTTACTGAACAAAGCTTCATACCACAGACACTTACATTTTATGTTACCATAATGGCAAAGGTGTTCTGTAGTGTCTGTGGATGAGAGAACACTAAGAAAGCATTTTTCAAAACCTGCATCTTTATCTCTCTGTAGAATTTAGTGCTGTTTACTGGAAAGGTTATCGTTTGGAAGTTGAGTCATGGCAACTGGACTTCTTTCTTATTAGGTTGAAACGTTTTGCTACTTATCCAAGTAGCTTCTTCAGTCTGAGGAGAGTTGGTAGGAGATCCCTGATATAGTTTCCATGTTGGTTTCACTTCCCCCTGGTCTGAATAGGCTCCTTAGAAGTACAGAGGACTGGGGGTGAGTGAAAATCCCACCTCTGCAGTCCTTTTCCACCCATTGTCATGGGTCAGTAATGGTTATTAATGGTGGTCTTTCTGGTGTTTGTGGTCCCAGTCTTTCTGGGGACGGATGAAAGGGCAGCATGATAAACAGGAGACAGATTGTATCTAAGGCCTCCACCCCTGTTGTGTGAAGGATTTTCTATATGCGCATGTATAGCCTCCCTGACCCTTCTCTCAGACCACCTCAAACCAAATGTGGCGGAGATGTCATAGGTTATTATAAAAGGGGGTCATGGCCTGAAAAAAGATTGGGAACCACTGTCTTAGAAGTTTAGATTTCATCCATGGTGTATTTTTCTCAACCACCTGGCTGTGAATCATGATACAGATGCCGTGGGTAAAAGGATCCTACATTCAAGAAGCTGATATTTATATTGTTATGGAAGGGATTGCACAGCACTTCCAAATAACAGATTCTAAGTTACTATGTTCTCCTGGTTCCACTTTTGTCATTCAGGGCCCAAATTACTTCTATGGCATGCAATACCTCGTCTGCTGTGGACGGTTTGTTAATTGTGGACATTCCTGGACAGAGATAGTCTGGTCATTACTGTCAGCATTTTTGTATGGACATGGGTGGATTACCACAGTGACTGAAATTCTGTTGTAGTAAGTTACAACTAGAGTAGGCCCTTTGAATCAGTGGAACTTACAGAGGAGTTGCCTCACCAAATCCCTAGTGATTCAGTGGGCCTACTTTAGTTGTAACTTACTACACTAAGCAACAGGATTTCAGTCAGTGTGTTGTATTTGGACCTGCTAATGATTATCTTATTTACCGTCTTCACTATAATGACAAGAGAAGCATATTTTAGCAAGAGGTCAGGCTTTAAATTTGAGGTGGAGGCAGATCTATATGTTTCTGCCTTCCTCCCTTCAGTTTAGATCTCTGTCTGTGCTTTGTGCATATTCTGAATTTGAAGCATTCATTGGGCACAGATGTCAGGTGATCCTCTACAAGCATCATCCTGTTCTAATCTATTTGGGAAGATGGGTGTTTATGTTCCTTACCTGATTAGATATGGGGAAAAATCCCAAGAGTGGCCTGGTTGCCAGATGGTGCAGGGTATAAATCCAATACAATAAATAAATGAATAACTAAATAAATTAGATTTTGTCCACCTATTTTTTCATTTCCTGACCAGCTTGCTTCCTCACCCAGAGGGAATTGCATGTTCTCTTAAGTAAAAAAAAAACAACAAAAAAAAAACAACCTTGGTAGCTAGTAACAGGTAAATAGTTTAATAAGAGAATACTATTAAGAGTGATATATCGCTAAGCTGTTAAAATAGAATTATGTCATTGAAATACACTCAGATGTGCTGTAATTGCCTTGCATATAGGGGTGGACTTAAGCTAGTCAAAGTACTCCATGATATCTTCATAATAGTTATAGGTGTCCTTTAGAGAAGGCTACTGTTATTCTGTATATAACCTGGTTTCAGGCTGAGAAATAGTGGACTCTTCATTGTTTGAGACTCTTAGATTGTATTGAGTGAGGGCTGTACTTTATAGAGACCACACCTACACACAGCATATGGGCTGTGTGCAGCTGTGGTCTCTGTAAAGTACAGAAGGGCTGAGGTTCAGTCTTTGACATCTCCAGTGAAAAGCACTAGGTAGTAGTGATGGAAAAGACTCCTTCCTGGAGATGGGACTATGTTTTCTGACTGATTTCATGTAAGTCATTTATATGCAATGGACTTTATATGTAGTTGTTTATGCTCTTTAATTACTTTTTTCAAAACCTTCTAAATGGATAGCTATCCACCAACATTTATTTGCTGCTTTTCAATGCAAGATCTAATATGATACTCAATAAATATGCTGAGAGTCATTATGTAGTCTCAAGTAGCTTTAATGATAACCCAGCTGACATTGAAAATGGTAGGAGTTGCCTGAAGTTGCTGGGGAAAAAAGGGTATGTGTAAGAAATGGTTATGTTTTATATCTTCTTTTAAAAAGCTATCCCCCCCAAAAATAAGATGTTTATACTGGCATACTGTTATGTTTTCAGTTCTACTAAATATTTTCAGACTCAACCCCAACAACTTTTTGATACATACTGTTGATCTGGTGTGTTGCTTGCAGTATGATTTGCTTCAAATGTAGTCATTGAACTTGGTAGATGTCACTTTGATTTTGTTTTGTGTAGTGCATGCAAAAAAACCATCAGTATTTTGCCATGTGACACATAAACAGTCAAGTTTGCTTGAGAAAAATGGATGGTGTAATTGTCTTTTTGAGAGAACATGGTTGTGTATTACACCCATCTCCAATAACTTCATTTTAGGAACCCCTGACTGTGGTGGGAGAAAAGGAAAAGGTGATAAAGTTAATTCTTCTAGTCATGGGAATCGGTTGTGCCATAATGTTTTGCCAAATGGAAGCCTCACTATGAGAGACTCATCAGCTACACAGTTTGTTCAAATTCAGCTGCTTCAGGTAAGAAGTGACTACTTATGGAAGCTAATGTACTCATTTATGTTGGAAAAGTCTAGGATAAATCTGGGAGAGCAGGTGAGGAGGTGCAGCCTTCCCTCTTGGTCTGTTGAGCAGGAAGTCTGGTGAAATCACCTTGACAAAAATGTAGTTAGAGCTGTGTGTCAGGGATCCTGTTTTTCCCTGATGTGCCCCTGGAACTAACCAAGTAAATTCCTTCTTATTGGAATTAATGGTAAATTGAGAGGCATTGCTAGAGAGGAAAAATTCCCTCCGTGGTTTAGCACAGTGGTTCCCAACCTTGGCTCCCCAAATGTTCTTGGACTACAACTCCCCAAAACCCTGACCAGCATACCTAGTGGTGAAGGAGTCTGGGAGTTTTAGTCCAAGAACATTTGGGATCGTAAGGTTGGGGACCACAAGTTTAGCAAATTAACAGGGCTTTAAGAGGATACAGAGGAACAGATTTTCTCTCATAGGAATGCTGTTAGTGTAAAGCAGAGTGGCATAAGTCAAGAGAAGAGTCTTGATTTCTAAAATGAATGTAACTGATCATTAGTTGATGGGTAGTAGAATTGATACTACATGTCCCCCCTTTCTTTAAAAAAATGGAAGGAACAAAATGCTTAGACAAATTTTAAGGTAATGATTTTCAACCTGTATATCTGTGCAGAATAACTGTAAACTTACAGCCTGTTTCTGATCATGTTTTCTTGGAAGCAAGTCCCACTTATTTCAGGGGAAATTGCTCTCAAGATTTCATAGGGTGCATCCATAATCTAGAGGGAATTTCTGTGCAGTATTTTCTGCATATAATATACGTATAAAATGGTGCCTATGGGAGAATAACCTAGAATATTATTTGTTCTAATTGGTTGTTTTTTTAATAGTAATTAAAATATCTATGTATGATTCATGTGTCTTGATGGAAGCAATTAATATTGGGATCTTTAAAATGTATAGTTTGTAAAGCATGTGATGACGTTCAGTAGATCTCTGTATTGGAATCAGATAACAATTGCTGACGGATCATCTCTGACTGGAAATTTGCATTGATTCTATTCTGCTTAGGATGATTCCCCAGGAGAGGGAGATCTGCCCTTTCAACTTAGTTCTCAGTCCTCCTCTTCACATTCTCAGCTGACAGTGGACTTACCAGTTCATATCCTTCAGGTACAATATCTTCAAGTTGCAAAGTGCGATACTGAAAAACAGATTCAAGCATCTTGCCTCATAAAAAATGACAGCGGTGGGGTAGAAAAGTAGGCATTAAATTCATTCATTGTTCTTGCCAGTTTAGGCTGCCTTTACAGATGAGTAACAAGTGAGGAATTTACAGCCTTCTGAGATTCCTTGCTTCCAACTGATAGTCAAAAAGCTATTTTCCCATCTCTAATTTACGCAACATGCATCTACTGATCTTTTCAATGGAAAGGAGAGTATACACACACATTCATGTGATAGGCACAGATTGGGCGATTGATAGAGAGGTGCAAACAACTTATTCAAAAAAGCATATAGTTTTCAGCAATTTGAGCATTTCACACAGTTGTGTGAATTGCAGTTTGATTTTTTGCCAGTGCAAAAACTGAAAACATTGAGAAGTTCCCCACTGGGTAAAGAGAGGAGTCTTCAAAATCCTGATGCTTGTATGTAAGAATTTACATCTGTAGATAGTTATAACTTTACAATAGGCTGCTTGTTTGCAAATTTACTTGCTTCTTTCAGATTTGATGAGCAAATGATTAAAAAAAGTGCAAAGGCAAAAACATGCTAGACATGTTGTGTGTGTTAACAAGCATCTTACCATTTGGGGAAGTGTGGAGGATTAATCCAGCAAACATAAATGCTGGTGAGCTTTGCAGAATGCAGTGCTTGTATACTTTAAGTTGTACAGCTGGAACGGCTTCTCTGAAAACTGTATATGAATTCCCCTCTTTTCATTTTCTTTTGAACAGGAGCCACAGAACTCTGCTGAAGAGGATGCTAGTTCTGATAACTCTCAGTTTACAGGAAGCACCATTAACCTACAAGACCTTGAGTGACTGTGTTAGGGATGGAAACATTGAAATGTTCAAGTTCAGAAATACCTTGGAGACTACAAATCTTGTACATTTCTACAATGTGCACACATCAATGCTACATTGTGGCTTACTTGATGATTATTGTGCAGTGGAAAACTTGTTCAGTAAATTTTATTTGATAAGGTTTTTGGAGACCTTAGTATGTTGTGTCTTGTGATCAGAAAAAGGTCCTTATGGGGCAGTTATTTAAGTTAGGCATCGGATGCTTTGGAATCCTGTCTTGGAGTGGATGTGTTGTGATGATATTCCGTTATGGGTTTTCTAAGAATGCTCCTCAAATACTCATGAATAGGCAGCATTCTTGGCAGTTTTCTTGATATCCATTCAAGTTGGTAATAAGAGATGCTCTTATTTGAATTTTGGGTTAGCTTGGAAGAACAACAATGAAAATTACTTGAATGTTTCTTTTCATAAATTGACAGTTTTCTGATACTGGTAAATATAATTTTAAAAAGACAAAGGCAGAAAAACACAATACAATTCTCAGGGGTAGCTAAGACTGAAGGTGAACAGTAATTTGTACTTCCTACAATCACTGATAATTCGTATTATACAGTGCCCTTAAGAAGTTACTCACTAGATGTTAATCTTTACATCTGTTGATAATGTTTACATTAATATAAGCCAGTATTGCCAAATCCTATTAAACTGTCACTTTAATTATGTATAGCCCAGATAGTACATCTACTCAGAAATAAGTTTTGTTGAGTTTGGTGGGACTTAAATAAGTATCCATAGGACCAACTTTGCCATTTACACTCAGAGAAAAAAATCCTGCTAGTGTCCCTGATAAACAAAGAAGAAGTGACTTCGTGGTGTAGAAAGTGGATCTTTCATTAAATAGAAAACAGTTTCTAAGTAGTAGGAAGAGAGTTGTCTAGATGAAGGTTTAACTGTCAAGACTTCAGCTAACAGAGGTATAGAAAAATCAGTGTTCAATGAAAAACATTAAGCCTGCAACTGTACCCAGATGGTTGTAAAGATATACTGTACACATATAAGACTTCATTAGAAAGCAGAGTATGTATGTAAGGATTTTTATTCCTATTGAGTGTGAGTACAAATGCACTTATATATATAAACCAAGGTGTTGTACAGAGAAATACCTTGGATCTCTTTATTTGCAGTGATGAGGTACACTAAATTGTTGTTTGTCAGTCACAAATAGAGAAGCAGTCAAGTTTCCCCAGGTTGGCACCTCCCCTGCTCCTTATTTAGTGGGTCTCATATGCCACCAGATGAGGCTTAGTGAATGAGGATTCCTCATTGAAGAAGTAGGTTTCCATCTTGCCACCAAAATTTTCCTGGCAGTACTGACAGAGGGTGCTATTTAAAGAGCCCTTGATAAATCCATAGAAGGCTGCTATTTTAGCATCTTGGATGCTGTGGCTTTATCATTCTTGCCACTTTGGGTTCCTGAAGATTTACTTTTTTCCAGGATTGCTGGGAGGACTTATTTGGGCCTTACGTCATACCACATTGTCCTATCATGAAAATGATATGGCTAAACTGACATTGGAAGTGGAATGATTTCCTCACCTTATCTTACCGGACCATGACTAGTTTTTACCTTAATTTATTTTAAATTAAGACTGATGGTAATGCCTATAATTAGTTGGAAGCATACGAATTAATTCCAGTGCCTTTTATGCCATGTTTAGGGGGAAAATGCAACCAAGCATTTCATAAGGATTACTATGTCTTATATTCTGATTTGTAGGTAGCATCTTTAAGAAAGATATTTAACAGCTCTAATTTTTCATTGTGTAAGTGGTACAAAATAGATCTGTCTCAACCTATTACTTTACAGAATTTACAAGTTTATGCATAAATTATCTTTCATTTCTCTGAGACTTCAAACCAGAAAGAATGAAGAAATGACTGATGTCTAAAGCTTTTGCACTCTCCTCATTACTTTTCAGTTTAAGAAAAGTAAAAGCTTACAAAGGTTTGACAGAACGGATTTGTCACCTTAGATTCTTTTCTCAGTGGCATAGTTCATACACTTCTCAGTGATCCTCAGAAGGGTTGATGGGCAGGGACACCCTTCCCAACCCCAAGCACCAAAGGTAACTAGTGGGCTGGTCCATGGAGTGGTCTAGTCGCAAGATCCATTTTCCACTCCACGCTTTTTCTTGAGGAGAAGGAGAGGTCCTCAGTAAAGACTGCTTATCAGCATTCTACCTTGGATAAATGGGATGCAAGTAGCACACCCATACTTTCACCATTGAAAGAGGCTTGCTGATGGCTTAAGAGTGTGAACTGGACCTACATAATCATGGTGCTTCTGTTTTACAGAGTTGTGCTAATTGAAAAATAAGTCAGTATTTCTATGAGACATGTAAATGTGTTTTCTTCTATAAAGTTTATTTACTTGGCTTTGTATATGATTGTAAATTCCTAATGGTTTAAAGGTAAGCATCAGATTTAGTCTGAAGTCCGTTGCTGGCAATGGACAATTGAAACACTGCTGAGTTAAAAGGACTAATAAATACAACTCTGTCCAGTTTCTCCATTTCAGACGGTTCTTTTTTCAATACAGAATGTTCCTCAGAAGGAAGAAACTTCTGTAAACTCTGGTCCTGAAGGCAACTAGTCAGACACTGAAAAATACATGCCTTTGCTGCTTTCATTTTCACATCTCCAGGACTATAAAGTCAAAGCATCTGAATGCAGCCTAGATTTCTCTAAGACATCACCTTCCTACTTTTGTACTTGTTTACAAAAAGCAACAAAAGAGATTTTGAATAAAAACCTAAAAGAGTAAACATTTGCCAGAATACTGTTGCTTATTTATGCGGACATAAGTGCAATTCTATAAATCATAGCAGTGCATTGTTGCTAACAGGAGGCAACACTTGTATTCCTTATCACACACAAGTAGTATGTCCTGGTGTGTGATGCAGAATACAAAGGATGACTAACCAGCAGCAATTCACCACTGATTTGTTACATGTAAGCAGTAGGATTCCAGCCATTAACTCTCGTTATCTAAAGTAAATTAGGAAGTAGAATTTTAACATAATCTGTAAATTATTTTGAGAAAACGTCTACTGTACTATTTACCAATGCTTTTTTTTTCCTATTCAGTTTTGTCACTTTCCGCATGCGTCATAATTTCTTACAGGTTTGGGCTGCTACGTGAAGTAGTAGAGCAGTTCTTCTTTTTCTTTGTCAATAAGCCCTTGATCCTCATCTTCCTTCTCTTTAAAGGCAGGGGGTTCAGAGCGGAAAACCAGTCTTCTGCCACTCTAAAAATATCAATAGAATGCAAGCATAAGAGGGATTCTGGGTATTTTTTGGTCTGTGTGTCAGTGATAATACCTACAACTATGTTGAACCAAAGGTCCATAACCAAAAGCAGAACCAGCGTCAGTCTTCTCCCCACCACATTTCATTGTTAGGCAATGAAGAGATACAAGAACACTAAAAAGTTTTCAACAAACTCTTCACTGAAACAGCAGAAAAAACACTTTTCCAAATACACATTTTCCTGTAGCGAGGGTCAAGTTATATTCGTGCTAACTGAAAAACTAAACCTTTGTAGAAGAGTGGTGTTGTTCTATGTACCTGTTGCAACATCTGTGGAGATGTGATGCCTGGGTTTATTTAGTTTAGAATGATGGTAATGTGGCTCTGTTATAGTACTGCTTTGAGTCCTGAAATATCCTAAAGTCACTATGGCCAGTTTCTTCTTCGTTACCTCAGTCGCAATGGGAAGTAGCATCACCAACAGAGACAGATGGTTGCTACTTCAGTTTCAGGTCTGTGACTCGCACACAATAAGATGAAGATGTACATAACCCAAAAACAAAATAGGAATTATAACTGTTCATCACTTTGCACTGCATCCTGTACAACCTATTCAAGTGGTGGCAAGAGTTGAGATGTAATCCCAGAACATGCTTTGAAAAAGTTTGGCTGGTTTGGCCTTATTTCTGAAGTATGCCAGCTTTATATACCATAATGTGGGAGTAACTGTCAACCCTGAAGGCTGTTGCCCTGTGAACGCAGGAGTGACCTTACAAAACACATTGCAGAGGAGATGACCCACTCCGTTTACCTCTTTGCTTGGAAACATTTCTCCAATAACCTGAAGGCTGTTGCCCTGTGAACACAGAGGAGACGACCCACTCCGTTTACCTCTTTGCTTGGAAACATTTCTCCAATACAACATCACTATCCTCTTGCTGTAATAGTAATGTTTAGTGTTGGCTAGAAGTATTCCAATATTGTCATATCTGACTTTTAAAAAAAAAAAAACAAACAAACAGTCTTCAATGTCATTCCATGTCCTAATGCTGTGAGACCACCCTAGACAACAAGGCCAGTGTATTGTTCAGTTTGCCATGCATATAATTTCAAAGATGGAAGTGACTGCATCCGTGTGAGGAACGTTTGTTTAGTCACCTGTCTGGTCATATAAGCAGCCATGCAACAAGGCAGATAACCTTTCTAAATTGCTCCAGATATACTTCTGCATTTGCAATTATGCTTGTCAAAAATCAAAGAGGATGCTGGTCTTTGGTAAACCTGGATTTCTGAGCAGCTTTTGAAAAGATCCTCATCGAAGGCAGAATACTTTGTATGTCTCTAACTGTTCATATAACGAAGCAAAGAGAGTGAATAGACAGAAAGGTCCTGCAATGGAGGGAAGGCTTTGAGCTTTGAACATTATAAAGAATCTAGAGTTAGGAGTAAGCCAAGTTAAAACACATGATAGTATATTACTTGTGACAAAAAGGATAGTAAGAATGGTAAATGTGATCCATTATAGCTACAGGTATAAAGTAATGCCCATCTGTGTAAGAAGGCTCTTCACATAATGCTGATTGGGCTCTGAGTTGATGCTGATTGGCAAAGACAAAATGTTGGGGCAGACAGCTCTGTAACATCATCAAATTGGATGGGGAAACTAAAAAAAAGGTGAATTCTGAGAAATGTTAGGTATAATGTCTTTATGTCAATCTAAGGTGTTGACTGAATGAGTAGGATGCACAGGCCTCGCCTCACCTTTTGAAAAGGTGCAGGAAAGTTATCAGGGGCTGCAGCAGCTCTACTGTGAGGAAATAATACAACATTTGGGGGGGGGTTATCTTTGAAAACATTGAAGTCTTCTGTCTTCCAGCCTCTTCAATGTATTTGCAGAATTTACTGTAGGAAAGTTGATGTAGTTGAAAGGGGAAACTAAAAAAAAGGTGAATGCTGGGAAATGTTAGGTATAATGTATGTCAATCTAAGGTGTTGACTAAATGAGTAGGATGCACAGGCCTCGCCTCACCTTTTGAAAAGGTGCAGGAAAGTCATCAGGGGCTGCAGCAGCTCTACTGTGAGGAAATAATACAACATTTGGGGGGGGGTTATCTTTGAAAACATTGAAGTCTTCTGTCTTCCAGCCTCTTCAATGTATTTGCAGAATTTACTGTAGGAAAGTTGATGTAGTTGAAAGAGAAGTGAAAATCAGTGAACGAAATATCAATTCAAGAGACCAAAAAGGGCACCATATTACTGGCTGAAGGCATCGGTGGCCTTTAATGAGTACAGATGAGTGTTAAAGAAAAAAGTGAAAATGCAGATGACCATTAAGAAGACAAAAATAAAGACAGCAGATACTGATAACAAAGAAATCAGAACTTAAAAGATTTTCTATATCAAAGTTTAATCCTTTACCCAGATGGACACTGTAGCTAAGAAATCAGGAAAAGGCTGAGGCTGGGAGGGATGGCTATGAAGGAACAAGAGAACATAAGAACATAGAGCCCTGCTGGATTAGGCCAAGGGCCCATCTAGTCCAGCTCCCTGCATCTCACAGTGGCCCCACTAGATGCCATGGGAGCGCACAAGACAACTAGAGACCTGTCTCCTGAGACCACTCCCTTGCATCTGGCATTTTGAGGTACCTTTCCCCATTATGGCTTGTAACCTGCATGGACTTTTCCTCTCAAAATCTGTCCAATCCCTTTTAAAGGCGTCTCCCATTATGGCTTGTAACCTGCATGGACTTTTCCTCTCAAAATCTGTCCAATCCCTTTTAAAGGCGTCTAAGCCAGATGCCATCACCACATCCTGTGGCAGGGAGTTCCACAGATGAACAACACACTGGATAAAAAAAATTTTCTTTGGTCTGTTCTCACTCTCCCAACATTCCATTTGAGCGGATGTTCCCTGGTTCTGGTATTGTGTGAGAAGGAAAAGAACTTTACTCTATCCACTTTATCCACCCCCTGCATAATTTTATACGTCTCAATCATGTCTCCCCTCTGGTGCCTTTTCTCTAGACTAAACAGCCCCAATTATGTAGCCTTTCCTCATAAGGGCGGGACCCCAGCCCAGTCATCATTTTAGTCACTCTCTTCTGCACCTTTTTCAGTTCCACTATGTCTTTTTTGAGGTGCGGCGACGAGAACTGTACGTGATACTCCGCGTGCGGCCTTACCAGTGTTTTGTACAATAGCATTATAATGTTGGCTGTTTTATTTTCAGTCCCCTTTTTAATGATACCTAGCATGGAATTGGGCTTCTTCACTGCTGATGCACACGGGGTCGACACTTTCATCGAGCTGTTCACCAGCACACCAAGATCTCTTTCCTGATCCGCCACAGACAGCTCAGAACTAGAGATGGGAGTGTTTATATACGAATATGAATATCCCACTCACAGGTGGCGTTAATGAGGGTCCCATGGGGGCCGGACAGTGCACTCACTGATTTGCCGTACACACGGACAGTGCGATTCTACGAATGGCGCCGCAGCGTGCAATCCGCTCGCCACTCTTCAGCCTTGCAGTGAAGCTTGTCCTTCCGCCTCCTGCCAGGAGTGGTGAGCAGATCACACACTGCGGATCCATTGGTAGAATTGCATGGTCCGTGTCTGCAGTGAGTGGACCGTCCGGCCCCATGGGACCGGATCCATTGGTAGAATTGCGTGGTCCATGTCTGCAGAGGATCAGTGAGTGGACCGTCCGGCCCCATGGGACTGGACCCTTGTTAATGCCATCTGTGTGGGGATATTTGCATATGAATATGAATAACCCCATCTCTTCTCAGAACCCGTTAGCTGATAACTAAAGTTTTGATTTTTTGTCCCAATATGCATTACTTTACAATTTTCTTATATTGAAACACATTTGCCATCTTGCTGCCCATTCTCCCAGGTTGGAGAGATCCTTCTGGAGCTCTTCACAATCCCTTCTGGTCTTCGCCACCCAGAAAAGTTTTGTGTCTTCTGCAGACTTCTCCACCTCATTGCTTATCCCCGTCTCCAGGTCATTAATGAACAGGTTGAAAAGCATCAGTCCCAGGACAGATCCCTGGGGCACACCGCTCTTCACCTCCCTCCATTGTGAAAATTGCCCTTTGACACTTACTCTCTGTTTCCTGGTTCTCAACCAATTCTCAGTCCATAAGAGGACCTGCCCTCTTATCCCCTGACTGGGGAGTTTTCTCAGCAGTCTTTGGTGAGCGACCGCGTCAAATGCCTTCTGAAAATCCAGACAGACTATATCCACTGGTTCAACCTCATCCACATGCCTGTTGAGCTTTTCAAAGAGTTATAAAAGGTTTGTGAGGCAAGATCCTCCAATATAAAGATGTGGAGACTAAGGCCAAGAACATCTATACTATGGTACTGTATTTCTAATTATTGGGTATGGATATGAACCCGGGTCAGTGGAAAAAGCTACCAGGAACTAACAGATTCATTTGAATGGTGGATGTGATGGGGACCAGCAGAAAGACAAGTGAGTTTTAGATCTAATCAGTGCTGACTTAAGAAGCCAAAATTACTAAACTGAGGCTATTGCACTTTAAACATCTCAGGAAAAGACAAGGCTAACTGGAAAAGACAATGTGTGGGAAAGTGGAAGGCAGTAGGAGGTGGAAAGACCAAAGAAGCCACAGCCTTTAGTTTGTGCAACATGGGCAGAGCTGCTAATGAACAGGACCTTTGAGAGGTCATTAATTCACACAGTCATCATAGGTTGGAGGCATATTGATGGCACATAACTTCAGGTTAAAAAAATGAGAGTAATGGAACTAGGATGTGGGTATATGCGTCATATAGGAAACCTTCCCATAATATTACCAGTGCTCTACATCACTGTCTTTTAAGTTTGCACCAGCCATTTGAAAATGTGCATGAATGCAATGAATGTTTTCAGAAGCAGAACGAAAGCAAGTTCAAGCGTTGTAGAGTTCAAGCATCAATTGAAGTACCTTGGCCTTATGGTTTATGATGACACATCCCTTTGTCTTAGGAACAGTGCACAAACCTAGTCAATATACTGAATCACACGATCCTTTTCAAAGGCAGAGTTCAGTGGAACTGAAGCTACAGAATGACTCTTAAGCAAAACAATTAATAGAAGTGGCTGAAATTGTGAAATTGAGGAATTAGCAAATACTGCTGGTTTTACCTTTTTCTTAATATCAGCTTGTGCTCTTGCCAGAGCCCGCTGCAACCTCTCTTCCTGCAGTTGTCTCTGCTGTCTTATCTTTTCTTCTCTCAGCCTAGCCACATAAAGAAGCAAATGAAGGATTAGAATTTTTAGCCACATCAGCCTGCTAGAATTCCACCACATTGACTTTTCTCGAGGGCTGGGATCCTGGGAGGCCAAGCGCTTCCATGCACACAGTGGTGGCCAGTGCTCCCAAGGTAGCCCACTGCTCTTTAGGGAGTATTATGATGGGAGCTCCTCACTTAACGATCACCCAGGAGATGCAGCTAGAAAAAGAAAATAGCATACATACAGGGTTGCCGTGCATGGAGGCACTGTGAGCAGTGAGTTCAGAAGAAATAAATGCGAAATGTAGAATGACATCTGTTTTAGTATAGTAACCACTCCATTTGCAAAGCATCACAGATAAATAACATCAATTAATGAACTACTATCAAGTGCTCAGAAGGGTGGAAATCCAACCCTTCTGGCAGGGCTGAAATGTCCTCATCCCCACAGCCCTTTTTGGGTCCAAAAACCTCCTCTTCAAATTTGCCAGCTCCCCCAGAACAAACACATGGAGGGATGCAGGAAGAAGCCACAATTGTCCCCCTGCTATACAGAAACACTTCATCAAGTGACATGGACTCTACGGAATACAAAGATTCGTCTGTTAATTGAATTCGTGTCAGAATGTTAGGTGCCAAGCATCAACAGTGCTTTGTAAATAATCACTATTAACAATATAACTGCCACTATCTACACTTCCTGCTGTTCACACTGCTTATAATTCTCCCCATTTCCCCAATCATAGTATGTACGGGGTGCGTGTGTGCATACAACTTAGGGTAGTACTTGGCATACTTGAGGAAATGGACTGTAGTTCATGAAAGCTTAGGACACAATACATTTGCTAGTTTTTAGTGTATTAAAAATAACTTTATGGTAAATGTGAATCTGTCTTCTGGAGGGGCTTCATGTTTGCTGAAACTGAAAAATTCAGCAGAAGGCAGAAAGAGATGAGACACTTTTGAAAGCTGATAACTTGTTTTTCCTCCAAGCCACAAGCTGAGAAATCAAACCTGCCAATGAAGCTCATTTATTTTTGACTGGCCAATCAGAAATCAAAGGTTGCTGAGCTGCAGGATACAGCCATTAGGGATTCCATACAGTGTGACAAATAGCAATCTATCAGCACTTAAAGAATCCTCATTTATTGATTAGTTGTTTTGACTTATTTACTGTCCCCAAAGTGCTAGAGCACTATAGGCAGTTTACAATATAATTATGCAAGGAACACTTTGCCCAGCAGTGAGCTGGGTACATATTTTATCAACCTTAGAAGGATAGAAAGCTGAGACAACCTTGAGTTGGCTACCTGAACTGGTTGTGAGCAGAGTCTTTACTACAGTATTGCAGTTTAGCCATTTGGCTCACTATTGTAGAGTTTGACCCTGAACCTCAATATTAACATAAGTTTTAGATCTCTGCCTTTCACAAAACAAATGGAATGTGCATCTATTTGATTTTTAAAGTCTTTGAGGATGTTTGCTAAGGGTAAACAAACAAGCTTAATCCAAACAAAATGGAGGTGCCCTTTGTTGGGAGAACAATCAATAGAATATTATGGCAACTTTTTGAATGCTGTTACAGTTCTGTCTCTTGAGAATAAGGTTCACAGTTTGGAAGTTCTCAGGCAGTGGCAACAGGCAGAAGTAACTATTGCCCCAACATATTCTGGTATTACAATGGTATCCTTTCCCGGAAAAGTAAAATCTGGCTATTGTCAGATATAGCTGGGTAACTTCAATTTACTGTAATACTGTAGGATAACCTTTCAAAGCTGTTTGTTTAGAAACTTCTGTTTGTTTAATTTTATGAAACTTTAGTTGGCTCAAAATGAAGCTGTTTAGGATCCCATGTACAATTATCATTTTTGGACAAAAGCCCCTATCACTTATGCAGGATTAGGATAGCTGTAAAACATCCAGTGTGCTGTAGTAGTAGACTGTCACTTTAGAACTCAGGAGATCTGGGTTCAAATCCCTCCCTGCTTGTCCACAAGGACTCAATAGTAAAGCACTCCTTAAACATCTTGCACACCTTGAAAACTCAGTTAAGATCACCTTTAAGTTGGAAGCAATTTGGCAACACACAAGAGCAATGTTCAAAAAGTACATTTTCTAAGCTGTGGGCTCCTTCCCTCACCACCATTCTGAATCCAAAAAGTTAAGATAAAATTTTCAAGTCCTAACCAGAGCAGGATCTTATACAAGTGCTTCTCACTCAAGTTCAACATTTCCTTGATGAAGTATGGAAGAGTTCAGGCATGTTTTCCAGCATTTAACCATTGTGCTGCGGATATCTGAAGTCCTGCCTCCAGCCAGGAAAATCCGTGTGCAGAAGCAGGCCTCTGCAACCACATCTTGATTATTATGCAATCCACCCGAACTAGCTGATCTCTTTTGCTACACGGTCCATCCCAATCATCTGTTGCCTTCAAACAGAACTGGCTTAGGCCACCCAACAGAAAATGATGCCTAAGTCTCTGGCAAGGGGTATCAGGAGGAAAAGGACTCCCTGCACCCCTGTCTCAGTGACAGAAGCCATTGAATTGGCAGGAGGCTGCAACCGGATGCCGTTGTCTGGATTGGAGGTCTCTCCTACCTCATCCGTCGTTCTTTCTCTTTGGCCTTCTCGGCTTGTTCTATTTTTGCCGGGGGGACTCTTTAAAAAAAAGAGAAAAAATAAGTTAAAAAAAGAGAAGAATTAAATACAATTAATATATATATATAAGTTGCCATCAGGACCCACAGTTGATGTTATTTCAATTAAAAGCCTTCTGGAACAGGAAGGTTTTGACCTGGTGCCGAAATGTCATCAACGTCGGCCAGTCAAGAGTCAATAATATAGATGTGTGAATATATATGTCTATATGAGATGGGTAATTTTATAGTGCTATTCCCAATCATTCTTGAGTAACACTTAAGATGTTTTTTTTTCTAGGAAAAGTTGTTACCTTCTTCTTAGTGCAGCAAGGGGTAGCTTGTGACCCTCCACATGTTGAATGTCAACTTCCATCACTCCTAGTGCTGGAATTTTGCCCACCTCTCTTATCAGTGTCAGCCTGTGCCATAGACCCTCTAGCAGGGATGGCCAAAGTGCAGCTCTCCAGATGTTGGAAGACTGTATCTCCCACCAGCACTAGCCCAGCACAGCCAAAAATGAAGAATGGTGGAAGATGCAGTCTAACAACATCTGGGTGAGCCTTTTTCCATGGCTACTCTACATTGTGTCCTGTAAATCTAATATGTGCCACCTGTTCCCCTGGCCATTGGTTTCGTAGTCACTGACTTGATGTACACACACGTACCTGAACTTCTGCTTTGTATTCTCCAAAAGAAAAGACTCGTGCTTTGAGTTCAAGGTCTGCTGCTGTCTCTTCCTCTTTAATGATGTTGGTTTGGAGAGTGACCGTAAGTAGCTTCAACTGCTCTATTTCACGATCCCTGGTTCAGAATGAAATCAAGACTGTTTTTAAGGAAGACTTTTGGACTCTCATTTTCATGGCATGCACTAATAGACTGCAAATGAATGGACCAGTTTTGTGCAAAATGTCACTGGAGTGGCTTAAAATACATTTAAGCTTCCTGGCTTGCAGATTCTTGATCACCTGGATGGAAGGTGTATTGCCATATCTCACAAGGTCCAGTTGAGAAAAAATAATGACAATGAAGGAAAGAAGGTTCTCCATCAACTGTTTGCACTATTTCTCAGAGTGTCTTTCCCTCAGAACATTCACCCGTGTCACCCATTCCTCACAGGCCTTGCTTCTCCTGGTGGCCACAACAAGAGAGGCAAAGCAGATTTCTACTAGAAATCATGCCTTCTCGGTTGTGGCACCATCCCTATGGAATGGGTTCCCAGTTTTTCAGAGGATGTTAAAGACCCATACTTTTCCAAGAAGCATTTAAGGACATCCTCTCTCAAATTAATTTATATTTGTGTCCCCTGATTCTGCCATCATCTGGGTTTCTGATTATTTTTGTTTGATCTATTTGTGGGTGTTAATGTTGGTCTGTTGTTGGGCTGATGGGTTTTTGTTATTTGGTTGTACTCCACTCAGAATAGTGCTTTTCACAAAATTCAGTGGTATAATAAATACTCAAAATAAATAAGTAAAATTAGCATCACACCTTTATTTCTGATTTTAATTTTCTCAGAATAGATTTTTACAACATGGATTGGAAGAAATAAGATGCTCGTGACACCGTAGTATTATAGAGTCTCAGCTGCAGCAGCTTAAATTATATTCTAGGTACTTGACCAAAGCACTTCCTGTGTCATAAAAGTATAGCAACACCTCCAGCAACAGTGCTGTGCACCCATTTTTGGTTGAGGAGAAAGGGGGACCCAGGCCCGTGGATTGTGATGTTTCATTGGGCAGCATCCTTTAGCCACTTACATTTTATTTCGCGTAGTAGCCAAAGTGTGTCGAATTTCATCTAGGGTTTCCTCAGTCTCTTGAGAATTCTGAATAAGGGACAGGTTCTGCTCTTCCAGCTCAGTGAACAGATTCAGCAGTTGATGTGGGTCTGTAAAGTATAATTCAGGCTCCTGCAGAAGCAAAGAGTTCAATGTTAGTAATGCAGGATGCTCAGACAGGTGTGGGTGTGAGTTAAAATGTGTTTTGTAAACTGAAGTGAACATTTTCTGAAACGGTTCTTTAGGTATTCCCTCCCCCCCCCCTTTTGGTCTTTTGTTCCCTTAGATTTCTGGTAGTTTTCATAACCTTCTGAAGTGCTCCAGATTTTGTGTAAAGAAATGTCTTGCTTTAATAATACAGATCTTTTGTTATTAGTGGAAATATGGCAGGAGAGATACAGTACTGCTTTATTGGTATAATTCATTCTTTGATGCTGGGTTTTTGAACGCTGTGTTTCACTTTGCAAATGCAAGGTTGAAACTTGACTTATAATTTTATAACTCTTCATAGCTCTTATATTGTAAAGCACTGGTTTAGAAAAATAAAAGTAATTTATTTTAAAAAAATCAGATCCAAACTACTAACCATATCATCTTCATCATCAGATAATTCTGGACTAATCTTTTCGTCTGATGCCTGAACTGGAACACTCCTGCAGAGGTTATTGCTGAGTTAGATATCACAGCAAAGTGACTGTGTACATTGTACAATATAGTTAAATCCAGCATTAATTTTTCTCTGCTTCAGTTCCTATCCCGCCCCCTCCCCCCAGGCTCTTGCCAAGCAATCACAGTTGAATTTCATAAAACAAAACGACAGTAAGACCTAAGGGCTAAATCCAGTTGTTAGCTGGAGTTAGTATAGCTCCTCTGAATTGATAGGTCTTTGGTAAGCTAACACTTGGTCAAATCCCATTGATTCAGTGAGCTATTCTAGTTATGGTAAGACTAGAACATGGACAGCTTAACTCGATGGCCAGAAACCTACTACTAATTTATGCTTGTGTGAGAGAAATCAAGTAAATCTTGGCAGCAAAATGCTGCTCATTAACAAGGTAATTTGTGGGTCTGTGATCAACTAGTACCTCATGAAAGAGTACAAATTTGCTATGGTGACTTCCATTATTTTTCTTATGAACACAAACGGGTAGTAGGATTCTGGCCAATGAAGGACAGAAAATTGCTGTCCCTTTGCGGTATAATTGTAACTTTTTAAACCTGGAGTTGGGATGTTCTGCTCTGAGCTGTGTTTACATGTGTCATGTGTGTATCCAGTGTGTGTGTGGGGTCATCATCTATCCCAACTAGGCCCTCATTTCTCCAACTGTTTCCCCTATGCCACCAACAGAGTTGCCACCAATAGAGTCTCCACCAGCATGGACAGAAAGGAAATGAATGTGTTCTTCGGCATGAGACATATGTGGCATGGAAAGGGTCTGGTGGCCATGGGCATGGTTTTGCCAGTTGAGTCCTTTCACACACACACACACACCATGGGACTGGCAGACATTGCAACAAGTCACAACAAGAGCAAATTGAGAGACTAAAGAAAGAGGGAGGGAAGAGCAAGGAAGTAGCTCTTTTCCTTCTTTGTCTGAATATAGTTTTGCTTACTTTATTTGCAGTTAGTTTTCCTGTGTTTTAACTGGGTTTCTTGCATGTACATGTTTATGTATGCGCAGAACTCCTTTTTTTTAAATTGCAAGTCATGTGGGAGTCTTCTTTTAGGACCGAAAAGCAAAAATATATGCATTTGATTAACTAAACCCAGCATTTTTCCACATAAATGTTGTATATCTGGCAGATCGTCTTCTCCCACCCAGATCTACCCGAATCACCCACCATAACCATCAGGGACGACTGAGGGGCCTGATGCCGAGAGAGGCTCGGGAGGAAAAAACTAGAAACACGGGCTTCTCGGAGTAAGTAAGTAAGTAAGTAAGTAAGTAAGTAAGTAAGTAAGTAAGTAAGTAAGTAAGTAAGTAAGTAAGTAAGTAAGTAAGTAAGTAAGTAAGTAAGTAAGTAAGTAAGTAAGTAAGTAAGTAAGTAAGTAAGTAAGTAAGTAAGTAAGTAAGTAAGTAAGTAAGTAAGTAAGTAAGTAAGTAAGTAAGTAAGTAAGTAAGTAAGTAAGTAAGTAAGTAAGTAAGTAAGTAAGTAAGTAAGTAAGTAAGTAAGTAAGTAAGTAAGTAAGTAAGTAAGTAAGTAAGTAAGTAAGTAAGTAAGTAAGTAAGTAAGTAAGTAAGTAAGTAAGTAAGTAAGTAAGTAAGTAAGTAAGTAAGTAAGTAAGTAAGTAAGTAAGTAAGTAAGTAAGTAAGTAAGTAAGTAAGTAAGTAAGTAAGTAAGTAAGTAAGTAAGTAAGTAAGTAAGTAAGTAAGTAAGTAAGTAAGTAAGTAAGTAAGTAAGTGATACCTACTTTCCTGGCAACCAGCATTTGTAACAGTATTCAGCTAATATACATTGACAGATCTTCAAAGAGATAACGTTAAAAACGGTTCAATCATCTTGCCCCCCTCCAGGAACTGTAGTTCTGTGGAGGAGGTATGTCTCAAGATTTCATTCTCTCACTACATCAGCAAACTAAAAGACTGGCTCTATTAGTCTCATACTCCAGTGGTTCCCAACCTTGGGTAACCCAGGTGCTCTTGAACTGCAGTTCCCAAAAGTCCTTACCACCAGCTGTGCTTGGTGAAGTTTCTGGAAGTTGCTGACCAGGAACACCTGGGTTACCCAAGGTTGGGAACCACTGTCATACTGCAATAGAACAGGTCCTGTTAGCAAAACAGAGTCCCTTTACAGATCTCGTGGTGGTGGTGGGGCAACTTGAGGAGAAGAAGTCAAAAGGAACATCTCATTGGACCAACAGAAATCTATTTGTACAACATTTAATGTTGCCTCTAGATTCTTAGGTTCCTTTGGGGTTATAAAGGCAGTTAGTGGTCTAAAGAGGCAGTAAAATCAGAGAGCTGGACAGGGGACAGATGATTGTATTTGTCTTCCATGTGGAAGGGATTGTCACTCTCAAATTGGCCTTCTCAGCCACACTAGACGCTGTTCCAAGTCATCTATTCAGAACACGTTACCATAGTCTCTTGAGACTGAAGGATGCCTAATCTAATCTAAAGTGGTCTGAAACAAAACCCCTTGGAAGTCAAAGTGTTGATGATAACAATGGATGTACCTCCAGCAACAAAAACCAGTGACCAGAAAATGCGGATGTACCTCCAGTCTTCTAGACAGCAACAAAAACCAGTGACCAGAAAATGCATGTAAAAATGTAATGAAGGCAAAAATGATGTCAAATCCCTACTCTGTTCACATGGATGCAACAAATCTCTATGCTTATCTCATAAGGGATGAGATATTCAGATTTAATGGAACATCTGTCATTTAGCGATGACTAACGAACAGCAATGCTTATTTAACAGCCTCTCTCAACATTGCTGCCCAGTTCCTACTGTTCAATCCACGAGGCTTCCAAAACAGAAATTGTTACTGGGGCATGCTTGTCAGTCAGATGTACTGACTAGGCCCTTATGTCTTTGACATGGGCTGGACTCGATAATCCATAGGGTCCCTTCCAGTTCTAAAATTATTGTTATTATTTATTATTACTAACCATATTTCATTATACTGGATGTCTGCTAGATATTTCTTTCCCATAGCCAGAAGGGCTTTTCTGGTTTTTTGGGGAGCAAACTGAAATCCTTTTACTTAATGTAGCAAGCTGCAACTAGAGTAGGTCCATTGAATGTGGGGATTTGGTGAGTCAACTCTTCTGTTAGCAAGTGGATACTGAATAAGGAAAATTAGCAAAAGGAATGCAACATATAGTAGCATATACATATAGAGGACACGTATAGAGATAGATCTTTCATGCCAAATGTAGCTAACTTTAATCACGTTCCATTCGTCAACTTTAATTGCAATTTACTATGCTTAACTACAGGAATTTAGCCAATATGTAATCCAGGTTGAGTTTGAGATTTGCAATGCACTATACTTTTTACCCCTAGAGTCGAACATGACTGGACAAAAACGTTCCATTCGTCAACTTTAATTGCAATTTACTATGCTTAACTACAGGAATTTAGTCAATATATAATCCAGGTTGAACTTGAGATTTGCAATGCACTATACATGTTTTTACCCCTAGAATCGAACATGACTGGACAAAAATTGTCACAGGGAACCTATACCTTTTACCATGCAGTGGACCCTCGACTTACAGATGGCTCGAATTACAGACTTTTCGAGTTACAGACTTCTCTGGCTGCAAAATTTAGGTTCGTCTTGCAGCCAGAGACTCCACCTACAGACCAGAAAAACCCCAAAATGGAACAAAAACAGAACAAAAATGGCCAGTTACTGATTAATCGCTTTTCAATGCATTGTAGGTCAATGGAGACTCGACCTACAGACTTTTCGATCTACAGCCACTGTTCCAATACGGATTAATTCCGTAAGTAGAGGGTCCACTGTAATTGTTTTTACCTACAGTTCCACAGATTTCACAGGCTTCCTTGCTTTCCTTCATTATCCTAATTTGGAAGTTCTGAAGTGCCGGCCATCATTTCAAAGATAAAATAAAATGGCATATGGTTGCATAGTCTTGTGTCTGATAGCAACAAAATATGGTTCACTCTAGTTCCATTTCCTGCCCACTTTGCCTCCAAATGTTTGGGGTACACTTACAGTCTTCTGTTTTGCTGGGATCGGGCAAATGACCTAGAAGACCTCTGACTCGTCTTGATGGAGTCCTTTCTGCCCAAAGTTAGACTAGGGCTCCTCAAGGAATTAACGTCTACTCCCGACAGGTCAAAACTGGAACGTTTTGCTACACTCATCGCTCGTGGTCTGCCCTTCTCTTTGAGATCTCGACCTAAGCACAAAGCCAAAACATTCATTAAACAATAAAGACATCAGTACTTACTTTCCAAATTGATTTGGGTTTTTTTTTTGGGGGGGGGAGAGAAAAAACTAATGGGGCATATCATTCTGGGGGTCCATAGCAATAGTAAAAACTGAGCATCAAGTAGATAATTCCAGGATCTGGGTTTCTTGAATGAAGTTAAATGGTGGGAGAATCTGAATAAATAGCAGGAAGTATTTTATATGTCCAATGTGCATTTATTTTAGAATTTGCTGTTGTTCAGTCACCAGTTTGGGCAGGGAAAGGCTTCCTATGACTATCAGTTATCTATTACCTTGAGCCATAGAGGCAGTGTGTCCCCCAGTATTAGTTGTCAGGTGTGCATATATGTATATGTGTGCATGCATGCGTGTGTGTGTGTTTAGTCGTTTAGTCGAGTGTGCATGCACGCACATGTGCACATATTGTGCACACATGTCTCCATGTCCTGCCTCTGGGTTTCTCTTTGTACAGCTGTTCTTCTATGTTCATTCCAGTTTGCCGCATTCAGGAGAATCACCCAATTCTCTGTTTTGGAGACGGTAGGTGAGGAGGCTGTTCTGGGCAAGAAGGAACAGGGGAGCCTGCTTCTGCCAGCCCAGCTATATGTGCATATAGTTTGCAGCAAAAATCACAATATCTCTAGATACTAGTTGCTACTGTGTTTGTATGTTGCACATGCTTGGAGGTGTATATGCCCATATGAGCAAAATGTGCATATAAGTAAAATGTGCGTTCCTTTGATGGGAAACCTTACCTTTTGATGATGCCACTGTAGATCTGTCTTCTGAAGGATCAGGAATGATTTTCGCCACCTTTCCCTTCAGCCGTCTCCTTTCATAATCCTCTCGCCACTCTTTGGGGGACAGCTGGTAGAGGAAATCCTTGAATACCACATATTCCTGCAAAGTGTCCTCAAACCTGGCTATCTCACTGGAGGAGGAAAATGAATTAAATCAAGACTGTGCTGCGGGAAAGGGAATCATCTTCAATCCCTCAATGGCAGCTCTGTCCAAAGGGTGGTCTTTCCTGATGGGACTCTTTCCCTCTGTTATTCTATCCTCTCAGCAAAGACAAACACAGAGAAGAGGAAGGCAGCTGCCAACCTTTGTGCACCAACAGAGAACTCTTGCATCACAATGTGGTTGCCTCAACTGGGATATCTAGGTAACAGCCTGAACAAGATCTTCCAGATACAAATGTGCAAAACTGAGCTCTCCTTAAAAGCAATGGACCTTATGGGTCATGTAGATTTTCCTGATTAAGCACACTGCCCTTAAGGATAGCTCAGCCATGACATTAATCCGTGATCTACAAAGCAACACTCTACGATGCTGTAATGTTAAGACAAACACCATTTATCCTGGCCTTCTCTGAACAGTTCAGCAAGTAATTGACAGCTTGATAATCCTGTTCGTGGGTTAAGGAACAATTGCCATTTTGTCCCTTATCTACATCCTCATCAGGTCATGGGGAGATGCAGAAATATTCGTTCGTTTAGTCGTTTAGTCATGTCCAACTCTTCGTGACCCCATGGACCAGAGCATGCCAGGCCCTCCTATCTTCCACTGCCTAGTGGAGTTGTGTCAAATTCATGTTGGTTGCTTCGCAGACACTGTCCGGCCATCTCATCCTCTGTCGTCCCCTTCTCCTCTTGCCGTCACACTTTCCTAACATCAAGGTCTTTTCCAAGGCATCTTCTCTTCTCATGAGATGGCCAAAGTACTGGAGCCTCAGCTTCAGGATCTATCTTTCCAATGAGCACTCCAGGTTGATTTCCTTCAGAATGGATAGGTTTGTTCTCCTTGCAATCCAGGAGAATCTCAAGAGCCTCCTCCAGCACCACAATTCAAAGGCATCAATTCTTTGGCAGTCTGCTTTCTTTATGGTCCAGCTCTCACATCCATACATCACAACAGGAAAAACCATAGCTTTGACTATGCGGACTTTTGTTGGCAAGGTGATGTCTCTGCTTTTTAAGATGCTGTCAAGGTTTGTCATCGCTTTCCTCCCAAGAAGCAGGAGTCTTTTAATTTCGTGGCTGCTGTCTCCATCTGCAGTGATCATGGAGCCCAAGAAAATAAAATCTGTCACTGCCTCCATATCTTCCCCTTCTATTTGCCAGGAGGTGATGGG